AGCGGAGGGCAATCGCCCCCACCCCCTGTTCTGGACCCCTGGGCCGGCAGGCTTGGACGAGGCATTTCCCAGCAGGCCCCACGCCCAACCCAGCAAGCGGCTAAAGATTTGGCGCGGGGAAATTCCCCGCGCCGCTTCCTCCGGGCAGTGGCGCGCGCCCTGCCCGAACCTCGTGGCCCCTGACGGAAACAGCCGGCGGGCCGCAAAACGTGCGCGCGCCCCTCGCCCCCCCGCGCACCAGCCGCTGGGGCAGATGGGGCCGTGCTTTAAAAACGCCAAAAGGCAAACAAACCGGCCCACATGCACGCTGCGATAGGGGGGGGGGCGCCCGCGATCTTGCCTACCGCCCCCATTCAAAACAAAGGATGGGCATTTTCAGCCAACAACCATGGCCGGGCCCGATCGCACACCGCACCCCCTGCGGCCGAGACCCGCCCCGGAACCCGACATGACACATGGAGGTGCACTGCGGCGCCTTGGAAAATGCGAAATAGACCCTGCACCAACTCTTTTCAACAAAAGCTTGCGCGCTGGCGTCCTTCTTCGGGTTTGGGGCAAGGGATAGTTTATCCCACCCCTCAAACCGTGCAAGAAAGCAACTGGCCTATGACCATACAGGCCAGTAACGCCCACAAGCTGCATCTGTAAGCACATGGGGGGCATCATAGCAGCACGAATTTGCCATGTTGCCGAGCCAATGCCCAGACCACAGCAGTCCGGATTCCGCCCATCCCACCCTACGTTGAGCCAACTGACGCACCCTCGAGGTACCATGCATCGCCCGACCCGCGGCGATGCAACAGCAGAAGCGTTTGCGGACGGCGTTAAAACATTCGGCACAGCAGATAAGGATAAAAACGCACTTGAAATCCGACGGCCCACAACACCGGAACGTATGATGCCTTGGTCGCTATATTTTTTCTGCGCAATAGAACGGCAGGAGTTCGCGTAAACAAGGTGCGCTCCCCGCCGGCGGATTCACGCGAGGCGTGCCACAAGGCACAGTTCTGGGGTCATTCATGTTTATCATTGTCATGAATTCTCTCAGCATCCGCTTCACTGAGGCCCCGAAATTACGGCACGGCTTCTTCGCGGATGGTTTCACCCCGATTGCCCGGCACAGCGACCGGGAAATCCTGGCCCCCGCCCTCCAAGAGGGACTAAACGCGGTGGAATCCTGAACAAAGCAACGCTTCATGGAGATCAACGCGATCAAGACCAAGTATATTTTTTTCGGGACTAAAAATACGAACCCCCTTCATCCCTTCTACAATGGCACGCTGGTCGCCATGGAACGGCTCCCGGCCCTGCCGGGAATCGCATTCCAGAACTACCGTGGAATGGGTTCTCATGCAGCGCAACCCCAGAAGCAGATCAATCGGCGGCTCATGAAGCCAGCGGCCGTCTCATCGCGCAGCTGGGGGCCGAAGGGAGACACATTGCGTGCCTTCTAATTGGCCCTGGTGCAGGCCAAAGCAACGCATGGTATAGAAGTATGGTTCTGAGGCGCATCGCCAACCCCGCGATCCGCCGTTAATGCCGGGCAATAAAAAGCCTGCAAAATAATTGCTGGCATTCCCAAAGGTAGCCGCACAGAAGATGCTTTACCTGAGGCCAACCTGCAGCCGCTAAGTACGACAGTACTTACTCGTAGCCTCAAATATATGCTCCTATGCGAAACGCGAGGGGGGCTGTGCGTGACAGCACTAGGGTGGCATACTCGACCGATTGCCCCGCAAGTCAGCTGCATACCACCATCATGGCGCAACACGCAGAACTCCATATTGAAGCTAGGGTCCCGCCCCTGGCGCCCCTCACGCTGCGGTGGGCATCTCGAGCCCTGTTTCACACATCGCCCGAAGGTGCCACCGCAGAGGACCCAGACGAGGCCAAACTTCAAACACGCGCCAGATGTATTGCCCGACGCTTCCGCCGGAAAGGTTCTGCACCACCTGAGCGCCCCCACTGTGAACTTTGGGCGGGCGGCTCTGTCGAACCCGGAGCGCAATCCGGCGGAGCAGCCATGATTTACCTCAACGGAGGACTCATTGCCCAAACAAAATCAGGTGCGGGACCGATAGCGCGCATCTACCGGGCTGCACCCATCGCATTGCAAGTGGGCCTAGGGAAATTGCTGGACACCATTCCCCGTCATAGCACTCGGCCGTGCAGGGACTCCGTCTTCACGGACCCCTGGCAGCTCTCATGGCTCCCCAAACAGGTCCACTAACCGTCACAGACCGCATATTGCGAAGACTATGGAACCTGTTATTGGACCTGCAACACCACAAGGCTTCCTTATCGCACGCCTCATCTTCGCAACGTCACAAGGGCCAAATATAAATTGAAGCCGTATGCGTGCCAAGACGGCCTCCGACCTACCACACTGCGGGGGCACGTGGGTACCGGATGTGGTTGCGCTGGCGAAACGCCACATACGCAGCCAGCTGCCCAAACCATCCACCCACCGCTCCAGCATCACCGGCCATTAAAACCCGACACGCAACGACCCCAGCTTAACTCAGGAAGGGGGGGGGGGGCAGCCCTAGCTCGCATTCGCACTGGCGCATCTCACCGCTACGGATGGCTTCTGCAAGCATTGCGCCCCCCCGCACCAAATACATGCAGGTGGCGCAACCCCATAGAACACCCTCCCCCACTTAAAAAGCCTCGAATAGAGACGCCGGCAGCAAACACAGAGGCAGCGCCTTTGCGTTTCCGTGGCCCGGCCAACTGCCCGGCATGTCAAACCCGCTATGGCTGTCGGGAACGCATTGTGGCCCACATGGTCAACAAGCATGGGTTCACACGTGCCCGCACACTCTGAAAAGTCAAGCATCCCACAGCTGAGGAGCCGCCAGGCACCCCGCCAGAACCCACCCCCAGACACAAGGCCCAAACGCACAGCACCGGACACAGCAAGCGATCCTAACCCGATCGCCAAGAAGTGTCGAGAAGAGTTTGCTTGGACCTGATGCGCGGCGTCGTTTAAAGGACAGGCGGGGCTAACAAGGCACCTTCGCTACTTCCACCCCAGCCATACCAACATGCAGAACGCAAACAAGCGCGGGAGATGGAAGAGAAGGCCAAAACCTTGCCTTTTCAATGCGATCACTGCGGGTTCGGAGCCCTAAGTAAGACGGGGCTCTTATCCCACATCCGTCACAAGCATCGCTCCCCACAAGGCCCGCCACGAGCAGTGAAACCACGACCGACACTATATTGTCCAATATGTCTCAGACCCATGGGCAACGCTAGAGGACTGGCAATCCACATGAAATACAAGCACCCCGGCGAACAGAATAATAGAGCACAAGGCCCAAACAAAGGCACACCAAAACCCCCCGAGCGAGAGAGAGAGGAATCCCCTACCGTGCACGCCACCCCCACAAAGCAGGGGAAAGATGAAGCAGAATTGCCCCATCCTAAAAAGCGTACGGAAACTGAGGCATCCTCCCCCGCCGCCGGCCCGCTAAGGAATGAGGGGGCCGCCCCCTACCGTCCGACCTGTTGGGGGACAAAATGCTTAGTGTGTTGTAATGGTTCGGTTCTATTGAACCAGTTCGACCGCACTACCGCCGATATCATGAGGGGCAAGGGATGCCCATAACGGGAAACGCCGGCGGCTCCAGGAGGATGCTTCTGATGAGCTGTCTCTGTCTGCCTTCTCGTGCTCCACGTGCGGATTCCAGCGCCACAGCAAAATATGGACCCACTAGGCACCGCACATTTAGCCATCGATTCAGGCCGGACCTCATGAAACCAAGCCAACGTGGACAGTGCGAAGAGACGAGCATGCACCTATTGAGCTGTCCCGCATTAAAGAGTCTACGGTGTCACTTTGGGGCGGATGGGGGCGACATGGAGAAGTTATGTTTCATGAAGTTTTCCCGATGCCTGCTGGCAGTGGAAAGGCTTCGTCCTCAACAGTC